ATGCTGGCTTCATAGAAAGAGTTTGGAAGTTTTCCTTCCATTTCTATTTTTTGGAACAGTTTCAAGAGAATAGGTGTTAACTCTTCTTTAAATGTTTGGTAGAATCCCCCTGGAAAGCCATCTGGCCCTGGACTCTTGTTTTTTGGCAGATTTTTGATTACTAATTCAATTTCCTTACTGGTTATGGGTCTGTTCAAATTTTCTATTTCTTCCTGTTTCAGTTTTGGTAGGATATATGTTTCTAGGAATTTGTCCATTTCTTCCAGATTGCCCATTTTGTTGGCATATAATTGCTCATAATATTCTCTTACTATTGGATCAAACATTTTAAAAAGAAGATACTGGGAAATCTACAAAATGAGTAAGTGTTCAGGATGGTGTGGTCATGCACGGAAGGGATGAGAACATAGATTTTAGAATATGGTAGGTCACCTTGCTGGTTACATGAATGTGAGAAATAGCTTGTCAGAATTTCAACTGTCTGAGTTGGAAATCAGGGATAATAGCATATTAGGTGTTAGGAGGGCAACAGATAAGAGAAATACTGGTTCTAACAATGCCTGGCATACAGTACCAGGTGTTAATATTATTACTGACACCAATAAGCAGAGCGTAATGCTCGGTTTCTACACATGTATTTTTCAGTGGATTTATTCGCTTGACTCTAAAATATCAAATTAAGGGGCACCTGGGTGGCTCAGTCAGTTAGGGGTCTGCCTTCGGCTCAGGTCAAGATCTCAGGATTTGTGAGTTTAAGCCCCACATCGGGCTCTCTGCTTTCCACACAGAGCCCGCTTCAGATCCTCTGTCTCGCCCCCCACCCTGCCCAAGAAAACAAAACAAAAAAACAACAATGGAAGAAAACACAAAACAACTAAAATAAAACATCAAGTTACAAAAATAGCGCAAACCTATATAAAGTTTATTAACAATTGGAAAATATCTGAACAGTCCTTAAAAGCCTACAAAGTTCCTTATTTTTAATTGAAGTACAGTTGGGGCTCGACATTATATTAGCTTCAGGTGGGCAACATGGTGATTTGACAATTACGTATGTTACAAAATGCTCCCCACGGGGAGTGTAGTCTCCGTCTGTCACCATACACTGTTATTACAATATCATTGACTAGTCCGTATGCTGTACTTTTCATTCCTGTGACTCACTCATTTTACAAGTTTGTACCTCTTAATTTCCTTCACCTATGTCACCCATCCCTCCAAACCCTCCCCACTGGTGACCGCTAGCTCTCTGTATTTATTAAGTCCGTTTCTGTTTGTGTGTTTGTTCATTTGTCTTGTTTTTTAAGATTCCACATATAATTGAAATCCTGTGGTATTTTTCTTTCTCTGACTCATTTCACGTAGCACAATGCCCTCTACGTCCATTGACATTGTCCCGAAAGGCAAGATTTCATTCTTTTTTATAGCTGAGTAATATTCTATTGAGGATATATACCACGTGGTATTGACCGACGCTTGGGTTGTTTCCATATCTTGGCTGTTGTAAATAATGCTGCAATAAATGTAGATGTATGTATATCTTTTGAACTAGTGTTTTCATTTTCTTTGGGTGAGTACCCAGTAGTGGGATTGCTGGATCATATGGTACTTATATTTTAATTTTTTGAAGAAACTCCACACTTTTCCACAGTGGCCACACCAACTTACCTTCCTACCAACAGTGTCCAAGAGTTCCCCTTTCTCCACATCTTCACCAACACTTGTTATTTCTTGTGGTTTTGATTCTAGCCATTCTCACAGGTGTGAGGTGATATCTCATTGTGGTTTTGATGATGAGTAATGTTGAGCATCTTTTCATGTGTCTGTATGCCTTCTTTGGAACATGTCTACTCAGGCCCTCTGCCCAATTTTTAAGTCAGATTATTTGGGGTTGGGTTTTTTTTTTGTTGTTGTTTTTGTTTTTTGATATTGAGTTGTATGAATTCTTTATGTATTTTGGACACTAACCCCTTATTGAATATACCATTTGCATTTATCTTCTCCCATTCAGTGTGTTGCCTTTTCATTTTGTTGATGGTTTCCTTTGCTCTGCAAAACCTTTTTATTTTGATGTGTCCCAACTGTTTATTTTTGCTTTTGTTGCTATTGTCTGAAGAGACAGAACCAGAAAAATATTAAGACTGTTATCTGAGCATTTACAATGTTTTCTTTCTTTCTTTAAATAGACCTTTTAAACCACTTTTTAAATGTTTATTTATTTTTGAGAGAAAGAGAGAGTAAGAGTGGGGGAGGGGCAGCGAGAGAGGGAGACACAGAATCTGAAGCAGGCTCCAGGCTCTGAGCTGTCAGCAAAGAGCCCGACGCGAGGCCCGAACTCACGGACCGTGAGATCATGACCTGAGCCGAAGTCGGACGCTCAACCGACTGAGCCACCCAGGTGCCCCTATTTTTCTAAGTTTTTTTTTTTAATTTTTTTTTTTTAGGACTTCCACATGTTGAATAAAAGTGAGCACATCCTGTCTTGTTCTTCATCTTTGAGGAAATGCCTTTAGTTTTTTACCACTGAGTATAATGCCTGCTGTGGGTTTTTCACATGTGGACTTTATTATGTACATTGAGTTATGTTCCTCTTAAATCCACCTTATTGAGAGTTTTCGTGATGAACACATGTTAAGTTTTGTCAAATGCTCTTTTCTGCATCTGTTAATCCTATGATTTTTGTCCTTCATTTGTTAATGTGGTACATTACGTTGATTGATTTGCAAATCTTGAGCTACCCTTGCGTCCCTGAAATAAATCCTACTTGATTGTGGGAATGATACTTTTCGTGTATTGTTGAATTTGGTTTGTAGAAGATTTTTGCATGTATGTTCATCAAGGATATCAATCTTTAACATTTTTTAATTTGCATCAAGATGATGCTGGCCTCCTACTGTGAAAAATTTGGAACGTTTCTTTCCTCTCCTATTTTTTGGAATAGTTTGAAAAGAATAGGTATTAACCCTTCTTTAAATGTTGGTAGACTTCATCTGTGAAGCCATGTGGTCCTGCGATTTTGTTTGCTGGGAGCTCTTTGAATGCCAATTCAGTGTTTTTCCTGGTTATTGGTCTGGTCAGATTTTCTATTTCTTCCCAATTCAGACTTGGACTTGTGCATTTCTAGGAATTTATCCATTTCTTCTATCCATTTGTCCAATTTGTTGGTGTATAATCTTTTGTAGTAGTCTTTGTAGAGAGAGAGTGTGTGCAAGTCAGGGAGGGCCAGAGGGAGAGAGAGAATCCCCCGCAGGCTCCAATCCCAGTGCAGAGCCTGATGTGATTTCAAACTCCTTAAGTTTCTTGAGGTGTATTTTGTGGCCTAACATGAAATCTACCCTGGAGAATGTTTCATGTACACTTGAAAAGAATTTGTATTCTGCTGTTCTTGGATGGTATATGTATCTGTGCGATCCATCTGGTCTCGTGTCATTCAAAGCCACTGTTTCCTTGTTGACTTTCTGTCTGGACGATCTGTCCACTGACTTAAGTGGGGTGTTGAAGTCCCCTCCTATTGTTGTATTACTGTCAATTTCTCCCTTTATGTCTGTTAATATTGTCTTTATATATTTAGGTGCTCCTATGTTGGGTGCAGACAGATTTACAACTGTTATAGCCTCTTGTTAGACTGATCCTTTTATCATTATGTAATGATGTCTCTTGTTACAGTCTTTGTTTTAAAGTCAATTTTGTCTACCCTAGCATTTGTTTTTTGCTTCCACATGCGTGGAATATCTTTTGCCATCTTTTCACTCTCAGTCTGTATGTATCCTTAGGTCTGAAGTGAATCCCTGAGGCAGCATATAGTTGGGTCTTGTTTGTTTGTTTATTCCATTCAGTCACTTTATGTTCTTTTGATTGGAACATGTAGTCCATTTACGTTCATTTTTTCCAAGTTTTGGTTTAAATTCTAGTTAGGGGCGCTTGGGTGGCTCAGTCAGTTGAGCGTCTGACTCTTGGTTTGGGCTCAGGTCATGATCTCCCAGTTAGTGAATTTGGGCCCCACATCGGGCTCCATGCTGACAGCGCAGAGCCTCCTTGGGATTCTCTCTCTCCCTCTCTCTCTGTCCCTCCCCTGTTCAGGCACTCTCACTCTGTCTTAAAATAAATAAATAAATAAATAAATAAATAAATAAATAAATAAATAAATAAATAAGTAAGTAAGTAAGTAAGTAAGTAAGTTCTAATCAGTTAACATACAGGGTATTATTGGTTTCAGGAGTAGAACTCAGTGATTCATCACTTACATACAACATCCAGTGCTCATCCCAACAAGTGCCCCATTAATACCCATCACCCACCTAGCCCATCCCCCACCACCTCCCTTCAGCAATCCTCAGTTTGTTCTTTGTCGTTAAGGGTCTCTTATGGCTTGCTTCCTTTTCTTTGTCCCCCCTTACTGTATGTTCATCTGTTTTGTTTCTTAAATTCCACATATGAGTGAAATCATATGGTATTTGTCTTTTCTCTGACTGACTTATTTCGTTTAACATAATACACTCTAGCTCCATCCACGTTGTCACAAATGGGAAGGTTTTATTCTTTGTGATGGCTGGGTAGTATTGCATTGTGTGTGTGTGTGTGTGTGTGTGTGTGTGTGTGTGTGTGTGTGTGTACATACCACATCTTCTTTATCCATTCATCAGTTGATAGACATTTGGGCTCTTTCCATACTTTGGCTATTGTTGATAGTGCTGCTTTAGACATCAGGGCGCATGCATCCCTCTGAATCTATTTTTTTTTATCCTTTTGGTAAATACTTGGTAGTGCGATTGCTGGATCATAGGGTAGTTCTATCTTTAACTTTTGGGGGAACCTCCATACTGTTTTCCAGAGCAGCTGCACCTGTTCATTACCACCAACAGTGCAAAAGGGTTCTCCTTTCTCACATCCTCATCAACATCTCTTGTTTCATGTGTTGTTAATATTAGCCATTCCGACTGGTGGGAGGTAATATCTCATCATAGTTTGGATTTGTATTTCCCTGATGATGAGTGATGTTGAGCATCTTATGTGTCCGTTAGCCATCTCGTGTCTTCTTCGGAGAAATGTCTATTTATATCTTCTGCCCATTTCTTGACCAGATTATTTGTTTTTTTGGGTATTGAGTTTGATGAGTTCTTTATAGATTTTGAATACTAACCCCTTATCAGATATGTCATTTGCAAATATCTTCTCCCATTCCATTGGCTGCCTTTTAGTTTTGTTGATTGTTTCCTTTGCTGTGCAGAAGCTTTTTATCTTGATGAAGTCCCAATAGTTCCTTTTTGCTTCGGCGATGTGTCTAGTAAGAAGTTGTTCCGGCCAAGGTCAAAGAGGTTGCTACCTATGTTCTCCTCTAGGATTTTGGTGATTTCCTGTCTCACATTTAGGTCTTTGTCCATTTTGAATTTATTTTTGTGTGTGGTGTAAGAAAGTGGTCCAGTTTCATTCTCCTGCATGCTGGTGTCCAGTTTTCCCAACACCATTTGTCAAAGAGACCATCTTTTTTCCATTGGATATTCTTTCCTACTTTGTCAAAGATTAGTTGACCATATAGTTGTGGGTCCATTTCTGGGTTTTCTATTCTGTTCCATTGATCTGTGTGTCTGTTCCTGTGCAAGTACCATACTGTCTTGATAACTACAGTTTTGTAATACAGCTTGAAGTCTGGAATTGTGATTCCTCCAGCTTTTCGTTTCTTTTTCAGGATTGCTTTAGCTATTCAGGGTCTTTAGCAGTTGCATAGAAATTTCAGGATTGTTTGTTCTAGCTGTGTGAAAAATGCTGGTAGTCCATTTACACTTAAAGTAATTATTGATAAGTATATAGTTCTTGTTATTTTGTTAGTAAACAAAATTTATTGCTCTTTTCCTTTGTGATTTAATAACTTTCTTTATTGTTGTGCTTGGAATCCTTTCTCTTTATTTTTTGTGTATCTTACGGGTTTTGGGTTTGTGGTCACCATGAGGTTCACATGTAAATTCAGTGTAAATAATAGTCTATTTTACGTTGATGATTGCTTAAGTTGAAACACATTCTAAACGCTCTACATTTTTCCTTCCCCTCCACATTTTATGTATATGGTGTCATACTTTATATTTAAAAATTTTATGTATCCTTTAACTGACTTTTGTATATATAATTAATTTTACTACCTTTGCCTTGTAACCTTCATACTAGCTTTAGTAGTGATTGATTTATCACTTTTATGTCTGGTTTTACCAGTGACATTTTTTCCTTGCATAATTTTCTTAAAAAAAAAAAAGTTTATTCATTTTGAGAGAGGGCGTGCACACACACGAACGAGGGAGGGGCAGAGGGAGGAGTGAGAGGGAATCCCAGGCAGGTTCTGCACTGACAGTGTGGAGCCCAGTGTGGAGCTGCGTGCTCCCTCCTGTGTGACTGGCCGTGGCAGCTGTGGGTGTGCCGGTGGTCAAGGCTGGCTCCCCTCCTCTGGGGCAGGAGTCTTTTTGGATGGATGGGTGGGTGGAACACAGGGTCCAGACAGGCAGGGCTAAGGTGGTGGATGGAGAGCATCAGAACTGACTCCCACAAGGACTGACCAAGCTAGGCTGAAGGAGGTCAAGGAAAACAGTACCTTCAGCACTCTCATTCCCTGAGAAAGCTCCTACAGATCTCTGATCCTCTGACACATGCCTTAAAATCACTGCTTTTGTGCTGGCCCTTTAAGAGTGGACTCTCGGATTCTTTAATTGATATATTTTTATTTATTTTGAGAGAGAGAGAGTGAGTGGGAGGGGGTCAGAGAGAGAGAGAGAGAGAGGGAGCGAGGCTCCCAAGTAGGCTCTGAGCTGTCAGCGCAGAGCCCAATGCTGGGCTCGATCCCACTAACGGTGAGATCCTGACCTGAGCCAAACCAAGAGTCAGGTGCTTAATCGACTGAGCCACCCAGGTGGCCCAGACTCTTGGATTCTTATGGCGCTTTGCCTCTCCCAGAGTTAAGTCCACTGATTTTCAAAGCCAGGTGTTACAAGGCTTGTCTTTCCGATGCAGGTCTCCAGGGCAGGGGGTGCCCTGATACCCTTGCTCGTGAGGGAAAATCTTGGTGCCTGGGATATCCTTCTCGCTTGGGCGTCATTATGCTTGGGCTTTGCTTTCCAGCCAGGTCTCCGCCCCTCCTACCCTTCTCAATGGGGGTTATCTCTCCGTGTCTTTAGCTGTGGAAGAGCTGTTCTGCTAGTCTTCGAGTCATTTCCAGAGTGAGCTGGACCATGCGTAGTCATTGCCTCTGTGTGTGAGGAGGAGGAAACGAGCTCAGGTCCCTCTCCGCCATCTTCACAGTCTGCCCTCAAACTTCTTTAAGATGCAGGCTCTTATTTAAGCTTCCCAGCATTCCTTCAGGATCGCATTTTACGGAATAGGAAACGGAGACTGAGGGCAAGGAAGTTATTTCCCGAAGTTTCAAAGCCGGTAAACAAAGGGTCAGGTATAGTCCAGTGTTGTCCCACTATTCCTGATCAGAGCAGGGCAACCTTCATTTATTCCCATTCTGTCTGTGACTCGGGCTGTGGCGTAGGGAACAGAGATGGTGAAATCCCAGCTCCCTGCACCGGTTGCCCAGGCTTTGTAAATAACTGTTTCTGAATCTGGCTGGTGACGATCTAGAGTTCACTCTCTGATATCTACCAAGGAGTACGGAGGGGAAAAATGTGCTCGGTTTTATCAGAGATGCCAGTTAGTGGAGAGTTACATGGGTGAGCTAGTTTCAAAGACTTTATCTTGCAACTTGCATGAATCGGAAAGGTAGTTGAGTATCTGGTGTCCTCTAGGCTCAGGGATCTGAAAGCTGGTCATCATCGTACTGGGGAGCCAGGGTGGAGAGAGGCAAGGTGCCTCCCTTCCTCCTGCTCCTGACCCCGGAGCCCCTGGTTGGAAGCAGCCACCGTAATCCACAGGTCAAATCTGAAAGGATTCCGGAACACCCACCAGCTCCTCGTGCCCTCGGGGTACCCTCCCCACAGACCCCAAGCCTGGTGGGGAACCGGGACGGCTGCCTTCCCGCACATCTCACCTGCCTGAACTGAATGGTGATAACCATATGAGACCGGCTGCTGCTGGCGTTCATGTTGGTCGAGGCCGTGGTCCTTATTTTTGTCCCTTGCTCCATCAGCCTTTCAATCTGTGCGTAGTTCTCACAGGGCACTGACTTCAGGCCGTCCACATAAAAGCCCAGGTGTTGATCCTCCCTTACTTTTAGTCCTCCGGGTTGCTTGGTTCTAGACAGCAGGTCTCGTATCTGTGGAAAAAAAGAGTATAAACTTCAGGAAGCCAGGGATTTCCATTTACATCGCTCTTACGCCTCTGCCTAGGATATATCAAATTTAAAAAAACTTATTGGGGCCCCTGGGTGGCTCCGTTGGTGAAGCATCCGACTTCGGCTCAGGACATGATCTCATGGTTCGTGAGTTCGAGCCCCGTGTGGGGGGCTCTGGGCGGACAGCTCGGAGCCTGGAGCCCACTTTGGAGTCTGTGTCTCCCTCTCTCTCTGCCCCTCTCCTGCTTGTGCGCGCGCGCTCCCTCTCTCTCTCTCTCTCTCTCAAAAATAAATAAACATTAAAAATAAATATTTATTGAACGAATAGATGCTAAATTTCGGTAGGTACTGGAGACTCTCATAATTTAGGTGAGTAAGCAATAGGGGAACAGCCAACACGAGGGAAATCTGTTGTAACTGCTGGCATAAGCCTAGTTTTCTGAAACTCAGTTCTAGTATTTTCTAGTACCTCAGGCAGCCCATCCGGCCTGTGAACTCCCTTCCTGTGGGATCAGTAGATCCTGACATAGTTCCTGACATAGGAGAGGCACTCCGTGAATGCTTTTTCACAGGACGGTGTAATCAGAGCGAGGCTAACGAATAATGTTTAACACACTGTATGTTGTGCATTAGAAGCGTCTGGAACCACTTCTACAGCATGATGAAATATTGGAGTGGGTGTGCACGGGCGTCTGGCTTTCAACAGGTGCTTCTAAAATGACAGTGCTTGAGGGGCTTCTGCGGCTCAGGCCGGTTAATAATTAAGAGTGCATGACTTTAACTGCCCAGGCTCGGTCAGCGATCACACGGTCCTTGATCATGAGTTCGAAATTCCCAAGCCTGGGCTCTCCCCAGCTGACCAGCTCAGAGCCTGGAGCGAGCCTGTTTCAGACTTGTGTTCTCCCTCTCTCTATGACCCTCCCCCATTCATGCTCTGTCTCTCTCTGTCTCAAAAATAAATAAACGTTAAAAAAAATAAAAAAAAAACAACAAACATTTATGCTTGAAACCCTTATTCTCTTATTGCCATGAACGTTCTCCCAGGAGCCTTGTTAACCATTTTATTTGATAAGCAACTCCTTTGGGGATAACATAGAAATACACCATCCTGGCCCCGGTCTGAATTACCACAGAGTCTCTGTTACAAAGTGGTGACATTTTACTGAAAACAGTGACAACTAAAAATAAAAATAAATAGCAGAGAATAGCGTGCTGAGTACCCAAGGTCAGCAGAAGGCCTGATACACCTGGGGGGGGGGGGGAATCATCGTCCCCCAAATGCTACCATCCCGAACCCTACTTCCAAGGGAAACTGATTCAATCCCGAAGGTATTTGCGCCAGTCAAGTCTAACAAGAGAATGAGGGTGATTCTTTGAATCTTCTTGTCGGAGATTCGTGAGCTGTCACACCTAGACCACGGCCTCGGGTGCAAGCCCGTGTTGCCTCTCACCCAAGAAGAGCCACTTCGGACAAGGCCAAGTAGGTCCTGCTGTGGGAGTCTGGTAGAGGCAGAGGCCCCCAGAGGGGTGGTTCGGTGTCTTATGGTACCGAGACGTCTGGGCTGGGAGCCTGAAGACCTGGGTTCTCAGTCCTTGTTTTGCTTCCAGCCTGGGAGTGCTTTGGAAAATCTCTTATTTTCCTAGGGTTCATAATAGGAGGGGGCGGATTAAACGATCTCTGAGATCTCCCCCAGGTCTGTTGCTCCACAGCTCTGCATCCTAGAACCAAGGCAAGATCGCAGATGGAAGCTCGGGCGAGCCAAACTAAGACAGTGGACGTAAGGTGCCAGAGACAGGGGCAGATCCTGGTGCCAGCGCCCTCCAGGGAGTGTCTGGAGATCAGAATTGGGTGACTCTCATAAGACCTTCTTCACTCACCTGGGCTTTCCCGGGACTCCCCTAACGCTGCCTCTATTTGGCACGCCTTCAAATCCAACTTCCCTCTGCTGCTAGAGAACGCTCCCAGAATCCCAGTCCGATTTTCTGATTTCCCTGTAAGATCCTCCACTGATTCTCCACTGCCTGCAGGACAAAGGCCCCTCGCTCTCAGGCAGGGCCTGTCTTTGGCTTCATCTCCTGACGTCCCCACCGTGCATCCAACTCCGGCCACCCAGAGTACTTACTCACTGCTCCCTTCAGTGCCATGCGCTTTCCGGTATTTTTCGACTGGTGAAAACTAATCCTGGCCCAAAGTGCCCCTATCTGTGCCCCGAGTCTTCCCGCAGCCTCGCCGAGCTCATACACATCTCTCGAGGCCCAGTCTGAGTCCAGCGTTGACCGATGTTGCCAAACATGCCAGGCAGTCACACATTCCCTCCTCTCTGCGCCTTGCGCTTTACTTTCCATGCCACACATGTAAGGCATCACTGTCTGGAGAGGTGTTTTAAGCTCCCACCAGACTCCTCCGTGGCGGGAGTTAAGTCCTGGGACTCACTCGTCCTCAGAGTCTGGTATGATGTCTGAAACATCACAGGTACCTAATAAGCTTCACTTTAAGTACCTAGAGGAAAAATACCGGAGACTCATGGAATATGAGAAACGGAAATGTTCCTAAGATGTCCAGTGTTCTCATTTTAGAGACAAGAAGACAGAATTCTAGACAGCGTATCATCATAAACAGATGTCAGTAGGGAGACCACAATGAGATGCCCACCAGAAGTTGGTAATAAAAGGAATTAAATTGTCTTCCTAAAGTTATTGGTGTAAGGTAAAGGAGCCATACTATCTTCCAAGTCTTAGCAACTTGAAAGAAATAGAAACTTAACCAGTGACCTTGACATGAGAACCCATTTGGAATCCACAACTATATGGTCAGTCAATCTTTGGCAAAGCAGAAAAGATATCCCATGGGAAAAAGACAGTCTCTTCAACAAATCGTGTTGGGAAAACTGGACAGCAACATGCAAAAGAATGACACTGGACCACTTTCTTACACCACGCACAGAAATAGATTCAAAATGGGTAAAGACCTAAATGTGAGACAGGAAACCATCAAAATCCTACAGGAGAACACAGGCAATAACCTCTTTGGCATCAGCCCTAGCAACTTCTTTCTAAATATGTCTCCTGAGGCAAGAGAAACAAACAGCAAAGGAAACAATAAACAAAATTAAAAAGCAACCCATGGAATGGGAAAAAATATTTGCAAATGACACATCAAAACGATAGTATCCAAAATCTATAAAGACCTTATCAAACTCAACACCCAAAAACCAAATAATCCAATTTTATTTTATTTTTTTTTTTATTTTTTTTTTTT